CGATAGAGATGAAAAACCGCGTTTACACGTGTACTCATTAAAATAATATTGATCACATCTCTATCAGTCCTTTGGATTTAGTTCGCACAGAATCGTCTTCACACCGTCCTTTTACAGTGTATTTGGATTGTGGAAAAGATTTTTATAAAATATATATAAATACCAAGATATCCTCAATGCACGGCTGCAGATGTCTTTGAAGACGTTTCTCTGAGAATCAAATCCGATCTCCGCCACAATTAAGTGGGCCCCGAGAATGGAATCTGAAAAGCCAAACTCCCATACCGCGGCAAGATATGATTGACCAATCAACTTATCATCTGATTAATTTAATATGAATGTTAAAAGATTAATTTAATATGAAAAGATCCAGCGTTAATTGGTGGGATCATCCGATAATGAACATGTCATGTCATGCTTAAGAGTTAAGATTAACTGGTCCAATCGTCTTGAGAGACCCTTTATCAGGAAAAAAAAAGAAAATAAAATAAAAAAAAAGTCATCTTGAACGACCCTTTTATCATAAAAAAGGGAAAATTTTCTATTAATATCCTATTATACTTTGTGTCTAATGCCATTTTGGTCCTTAAATTTTAAAATATAATAATTCAGTATCTGAACTTTTAAAATATATTAATTTAGTATCTACTGTTAATCAATTGTCAATCAGCCGTTAAATGACATTTAAAAAAGATACAAATGTCCTTTGAGTGTCATCTAATTTTATTTTATCAACCATTCAAACGTTGGCAAAAAAGTAATAGTCACAAACCCTTGCTTCTTCTATTCAAGAAAATTGGGGTCATGTCTCAATGGACATTTTGGACCCCAACTTTCTTAAATAAAAAAGACAAGGATTTAGGATTGTTAATTTTTTGTCAATATTTGAATGGTAGACGAAGAAAACTTAAAGAGCATCTGTACATTTTTCAAATGCCACTTAATGGTTAATTAATGGTAGATACTGAATTAATATGTTTAGAAAGATTGAGTATTGAATTATCACATTTTAAAATTTAAAAACCAAAGTGACACTTGACCCAAAATACAAAGTACTAATCAGGAATTTAAAAATCATCTTGAGGGACCGTGCAATTTATGAAAGGCTTGAACTTGTGGAACTCAACTTTCTTCATTTACATATGTTTTATTTTTTGATAAATTGCATATTTGCATGTAATTTGAGGGAGTGACAGGTAGCCCCCTCCGGAGCTTACATTTGTGAGTGGTATTTTAAGTTTTTAACACTTTGCCATTCTTTGTTAGTATTCCTTCAATTAACTTGGAAAAGATTTCCATGTAATTCTTATATGCTTGTTAAATATTTTTAAATCTCCAAGCAATAAAGTTAATCTTGATCTCAATTTCTCTTGGGACTTTCTATTTGACTAATATTCAATGCTTAGATTGATTCATGTCTTCATGAAAGTTTAAAGATAGGGATATTATATTCTCAAATCCTTTGCCTTTTTTAATACCCCAAGTTCACTTCAGGTGGTCAGAGGGGCTGTCACCTTAAATTTTATTAACAATAATATAGGGGGGACGAACTCACTTTGCCCCATAATCCAAGAAAGAAGCATGCATCCTTGTCAACCAACCAAAAGAACCAAACAAAAACAAAAAACAACAAATCATTACAAAGACAAAATACTTAACTAATTGATTCTCAGCTTTTGAATTCTCATGTAGTGTTCTCTCGAGGAGATCTTTTGGAATCTCAGGGCTAGAACTATAAAAGTAGAACCTTTCTTCATCAATGTCTCTATTAACCAAAAAATCAGCACACCGAGTGCGTTCTCTTGAAGTGTGAGAAGAGTTAAGGTGCATACTATTGCTTCTTCTCCAAATGTGTTACTGAATGTTAGTGAGACATCTCAGTTTGGAAAGAGTATAAATACAAATATGTAGAGTGCAAAACTATGTCTTGCTTCTTCTCCAAATGTCTTACTGAATGTAATTGAGACATCTTAGTTTGGAAGGAGTACAAATACAAATATGTAGAATGTGAAACTATGTATTTTGTATGCATTTGTACTCCTTCCAAACTGAGCCCAAGGGAGATGAATCTTATTGATGAGATCTAATATCAATTAAACATTTGTTATTGCTCTCCACCTCAATTTTCAGGATATTTTGACGGAAACATGAATTAAGTCCATCAAAAAGAACAAGTAACTCAGCTCTGTGGGAATTCCCTCTCCATAAAAATTCTGGAAGCCAAAGAAAAACACAACATAATCCCCCTTCCATTAGATAGAAGTGGAAAATGATTGATGGGTTTGACACGATATAATTTAATCTATGGAAAATAAAAATGAAAATATCATTCATGCCCCTAGTAAAATGTGGGAAACCATTTCCTTCAGTCAATTTTGTTCTTTATTCGAAGAAGATACACTACTTTAGATGAAGGACCTAGACACCATTGTTCTCTCGTTCTTCATTTTGCTGAAACCAAACATTGTTTAGTAGATCTAGAAATCATAATTCTCTTTCTAAAAGCTTGATATGAAGTGTTAGAGGTATTTTTTGAATAAGAAAAAGCTTAACCTATGCCCTTAAACATTTTCCACTCGATTAAAGTGGCCACATAGCCGTTTCAAAACAATAATACAAATAGTTCTTAATGGAAGATTGATTAAATAAAGGGATAAGTGGACTGCAATCCACCTTAGAAATCTGAATTACAGCCCCCTCCTATTCTACTAGTAGCCCCCCTATAGAAACCCCTTAAATAAATCAGTTGCAAACTATAGGGGGTGTTTTATTAAAACACTAACTATAAGGTAGGTTTTAGTAAATCGATAAAACTTAGAGAGTGTCTTTATAGATGACCCTTGTTAGAAACTTAGAATAAACTTTTATTTATTTATTTATTTTTGAGAGAGAGAGAACGAGCTGAACATACAGAACATATTAATTATTTGATTTCATTACATAATCAGAATTCTTGGTTGGATGTATAAAGAGTGGTACACATCTTAACATTATTGTTGGGTCCATGAAATCCTTGGGCCATATCTTAGATATCTACCACAGATTATTTATCCAATTAGCTCAATAATTTTTAATAATATAAAAAGTCCTTATCATTAATTATCATGGAGATGGAACCAACAAATCATAGCGACAACACCTTGTGTAATTGTCCCTGTGTGCAGCTGTGCTGTTTAAGTGGGACTCGGTTTAGGATCTCCAACATTTCTTATAAAATCTACAATGTATTGTAGGCAATACATAGAAAAGATTTTAAAAAGGTCAAGTAGGGAGCTTACTCATCATGTGACCTGACTATGTGATGCGAAGGGATGACGTGGCTAATTTGAGGCATCCACTAAATAGTCAATAATATGTGTCCCACCTCTTGTTAGCATCTTCTTGGCTGTTAAAAGTTTTTAAACTTGTTTAAAAGAAGGATTTATTCTGACTCATCTCCTGTCCATTTCTACTCACAATACACCACCCCCCGTGAATTGGGAACATCTCCCCCTATATAGTACTATACAGAGGATGAAATATTCTCCATGTGTGGCTGCAATAAACATGGGCAGGATTCTCGTGGACCTGAGATCTGGGCTCATTTATTCTAGCCACGTGACTGTGATTTTTGGGCTCAAATGGACTCCAGCAAAAGGAACAAGCGGAGCCATTTTGATCCCAAACCAGTTTGCCAAGCCCTCAGCTTTCCTTTCTATTTAAAATAGAGTTGCCAACTAGAGGACCTACTCTGTGGTCAATCCAGACTGTTCATCCAAAAAAGGACCCTTTAGATTGGTTGTGTCAGAACTGTGCAATCCATGGCAACCCTATTCCAACTTGGATTTGTTTTGGTAATGACTGATGAATCCAACTGTTGATTAGCAAGAGTGTTTTTTCCTCCATTGATAATAATTGTTCTTTTTTTTTTTTACTTTTTCTAATTTAAAAGTTATCTACACAGTTCATGTACAACACTATAACATCTATTAACATCTTTTAATCCTGTTTTGTTGGAAGATATAATGCATCACGGAATTTTCACAAAAAAAAAAATCTTTTTCATGAACATAGAACTCCATTAATTGATCCCAAGACTAATTTATCAATCAGAAGTTTTTTGAGGGTATATTTAGCTCATGGGAATTGGGGTCTGGAATCGGAATCAGAATGACCCATTCTATTCCAACCAAAACCATTTGGTTAGACAGAATCAAAACTCAATTTTTATTTCCTCTATTTGAACAAATGACCATTCTCTCTCCCTCCCTTGAGAATGAGATTCTCATTTCAGTCGATTTCCATTCTTATTCATTCTGATTTCTATCTAAACCAAACAGGTAGGGGAATAGAACATTCCAATCCCAATTTTAACTGCAAACCGAATAGAGATCAAATCAGCCCCCCACTAGGTTGCCCCCCACAAAGTCCCACAGTACATCTCCACCGTGTATTGGGAACATTTTTTGATGATAATATCATCATTTTTGGTATTATCGTCGGAAGATGTTCCCAATACACGGCGGAGATATACTGTGGGACGTTGTGGGGGGCAATCTTGTGGGGGCTGATTTGAACTCAACCAAATATACCCTTAGTTGTTCAAGGACTCAACTACCAAACCTGCAAAATTTCCAATTTTGACCCTAATAGCAATGCACGGCAACTATTTTTATTGTTACCCACTGTCATTCATGTAATTTTTACTGAATAATTTCTTCAAAATCCATGCAAATAATTATACATACTGTTCCTTCATTTACCAAAAAAAAAAACTGTTCAATGAAAGCAACTAGGGGGCGTAGGCCTTGGTTTAATTGGAAACAAGTCTAAACAATCCAATCCTTACAGTTGTTAAAAATAAAAATAAAAAGAAAGAAATGAAACCATGTATGGATGCGAATAGATAAAAGAAAGCCTTTTTTTAATAAGAGGAATTTAAGTCATGGTCTAGTCGACTAACTCGACTTACTACTGGTTTGATGGACGACCAGACCAAAATATGAAATTTCTCCTTCTGAAATTCTTCCATTCAACCCGTCATTAGACTCGCTTCGAGAAAATTCAGAGGAAAAAAATGGGAGTTTCTCTTAAAGCGTATTTGACTGTAAATTTCGTTTTGGTTATTAAATTAAATTAAATCAATGCAAACTACTTAGCAAGTTCCCACTTGACAATCCTACATATACCCAACGAGGTTTGAGAATCGTCTGAACTTTCACAAGACTCCGTCCTCTCTCTCTTTGTTTTTAGCTCTCTAGATCCATCCCCCTCTCTCTGTGCACACAGAAAGGCTGTTTGGTTTCTCTTTGTTTTCAAACCAAGACGAGCATGGCAGATGTTTTGACTGAAGAGCAGATCGCTGAGTTCCAGGAAGCCTTCTGCCTTTTTGATAAAGATGGAGACGGTATATATGTTCTCCTAAACCCTTCTTTTAGGCTCTCATATTTGATGTTGTTAGCTGTTTCTGTTTTAATATCTTTAGTTGATGGATTTTTGTGGATTATCTACTGGTAGTTGCAAGATGTCTCGTTTCTGATCATTTCTGCATCCTGGTTCTTAATTAATTATCGTTGTTTTTGTTTTTGGTTTTTTCTTTCTGATCTCTGGACAGCTGGGTCTTCTTTTTTCTTAGTTATTGATGAGTTGGTTCATTAGTAGGTTGTATTACCATAGAAGAATTGGCGACAGTAATCAGGTCACTTGATCAGAATCCGACTGAAGAAGAACTGCAAGAGATGATAAGTGAAGTGGATGTGGATGGAAATGGGACCATAGAATTCGGAGAATTCTTGGGTCTCATGGCAAGAAAAATGAAGGTAATTCAAATTAAAGATAAGATTAATTACAATTAAGCAGAGATACAAATCTAAATTAACTTAAGAATTAATTTTTGTCGTGTTCTTTCTATCTATAGGAGACTGACGCAGAAGAGGAGCTAAAAGAAGCTTTCAAAGTATTTGACAAGGATCAAAATGGATACATATCAGCTAATGAGGTAGGTTTCTTATTGAGAGAGAGAGAGAGAGAGTAGTGCTGATAAGTTTTCTGAAATGTTTTTTTTTTTTTCTGTGTAGCTGAGACATGTAATGGTCAATCTGGGGGAGAAACTGACAGATGAGGAGGTAGAGCAGATGATTAAGGAAGCTGACTTGGATGGTGATGGCCAAGTTAATTACGATGAATTCGTGAGGATGATGATGGCTATTTGATCGAAATTCTGATCAAGATCCAGAGCAGATAATCTCAACCACCACAAGAGAGAGAGAGAGAGAGAATCCAGATTGTGAATAATGTGGTGGTTAAGGCGATCTAATCAATGTACTCATTTGTTTTTATTTTTCTTGAGTTTTGTAAATCCCCAAAGCACTGAAAGCTACAGAAAACACAATAATCAACAACCAGATAATCACCTCATTCTTTCTTTCATCTGTATGAAACAAACAGTTTCTCTTTTCCAACAAAGCAGAAGAAGGGAACAGCTGTCTCTCACCTTATGTATTTTTTTGTTTTTTGTTTTCTGTTTATTGTAGTTGCATTGATTTCTTCCTCAGATTTTCAAGGTGCTTCATTTTTCTACCTTTTTGACATCTTTCTATCATATGGATGGTGTCCATTAATGCAGCTTAAGACATTTATAAGTTCTCCAGCATGTTAAAATTGACGGAGTGTTCCACCACAAACTCTAGCCTTAGGCTCAATTTTGTTTGTAAGTTGGACCAATAGGGCCAATTGGATGTGCGTTGACATGTCCTTTGGTTGGTGGTGGGTGGGAAAATTAAATCAAAATATTTGAATTCCTAATTTCATACGAGCATTTCATCTTTCAAAAGCTTGGCCAGCTAGCATGTCTTTGAGTTCTGGGTTTGTTCCCAGTGGTCAATAGGTGATTTTATTTGCTTCATCTCTCTAAATTAGCCAAAAGTCTTCTGGTGATTTCTTCTGAATCTTCCAAAGTTAATGCTTTTTTGTTTCTTTCTTATTACTTTGACTAAAGGTGTCAATGCTAGGAATTGAAAAGATATTCATCCATTTAGGCGCAAAGTGTTCCTGTATAAAAGAAAAAATCTACCCCGTACTTGACGCTGTGGATTTGGGAAACAACAGGAATTTTGATTCCATTAAAAATGGTAAAAAAAAAACCCAACTAAAGATGGGATCATATCCAGTTTAACCATTCTGTTTTGTTCTGTTCAGTGCCATACACATCAAATTGCAAATTAGAATCATTAATGGAATTAAGATGACAATCAGGAGACGTAATGCCCATTTTATTAGAGGTTGGGATTTTTGTTTAGAGAATTGAACAAAAGGTTTCAAATCTCATTTAATTTGCTAGGCCAAACTCATTAATTTATACTTTGTATAATTTGATCCTCTTATTATTTGGATGAAAATATAGAATTATCAATCATGATAACTAGAGGCTCCTGCCAATGGAGTATCTGTGGAGGGACAGATGCACTCAACCTTACCCCTAGAGAAGAGAAGTTGTTTCTAAGATTTGAACCTTGACCTCACGTTGCAATTTTGCAAGCAATTCTTGCGCTAAGCCCCACCCTAATGATAACTGAATTAATAAAAACTAAAATTCTCAAAACTTAACAGTATTTGATGCTAACTCAAATTCTATAGTTGCATTCTATTTATAGAAGTAGATTTGTCAATTACATGTCTTTGATTGATTCTTTCCCTTTTTTTTGAAAACCGCTATTTCCATTCAACAAGTTCCACCACAGTTAAAGCCATTGTGATTCAAGCAAGGTTTTAAAAATTGGATCGGACATAGAATCGTTTTTGGGACCGATTTTCAAGTCGAACGGTCTGACCATCTAGTTTGAACAGATGGCCCATTCTGCCTTAAAAAATAAATTAAATCAATGATTTTAAGGTAAAACAGAACCGGTTATTACCTGACTGATTCCCGAGCCAACTGGTCCAACTGTCCGATCCGACTTTCAAAACCATGAATTCAAGTGGAAGTCCAAATTGCAAATTCTTCTTAATTCAAAAGGAAACCCTTTTTCTAGTGCAAAACTTGGCACAGGCTTATCCAACTGGAAAATTATTCTCAATAGGAGACATCAATCGTATTCCCAATTTCCTAGAATTTTGCTTAAGATATAAATGAGAGGACCTTCTGTTTGAAATGTCATTTTCCTAAAAAACATTAACCACTTTGAAAAGGGTTTTGAAATAATTGTGTTGTGATTGCTGTTTTGACTAACAAACAGTAGGTTAAATATATCAGTCGAGTTTCTTGACTAACAAAAAAAAAAAAAAAAAGAAGGAAAACAGATAGAAAAGCTCCAGATTAGTGATTACCCATAAACCCAAATTGGCTAACTTTTTGGGCCTTAACCTGGCTCATGTTGATTCCTGCCCAAGTTAGGCCTGCACAGTGCCATTGCTGCATACATGATGGCCCGGACAAAAGAAGTGTGATCACAAGTCAAATGAACCCATTAGTTGTTTGTCACTTTGTTGGTCGACATTGCACTTTTATTTTTACAGTGCTTTCACATGGCGAAACCAAGCATGCTTTTTGTACTACAAAAATTACTCAATAGGCTCAGTTTGGAAGGAGTATATATATGTAAATTTGTAGAGTATAAAACTTTGCATATTATGTTATTTTGTATGTATTTATACTGTACATATTTGTATTTGTATCCTTTCCAAATTGGGCTTTATAATAAAATTCCTAATAATTTGAAGGTTTCTTGACTGCTGTGTGTCTGCATTTGGTGCTTGGTTTGATAAGTGGGCTTGCATTTGGATCCAGTGAAGTGGGTTCAGATTCTTGATACTTTGAACCACTGGTGATATGAGTTGGATCTGGATGCAAGGTCCCAATTTGGATTTGTGCTCAGCCGCTAATTTGGTTTATTCAATTCAATCCAAACTTGATTAAATTAGCAATCAACAGAAAACAAGGCTGTGATATAGGGGGTATTTTTAATCATGGTTGAGTTAGTTTTGTTTTTGTCGACATAATGTCATACACCCCTTTAAGAAGTACAACTGAACCATTTTTTAAGAAAATCATTGTGTTCAATTTTTTCGAAGGGAATGGTGTGAAAGAAATAAAAGCAAGTAGAAACAAATAAATATAAGAGATGAAAGAAAGTTGCTCAAAAGGATGAACCTCGCATCATAGAATATTGAGTCAAAAGACAAGCCACAAATGCATAGGGTTCCTAGTTACAAGTTCCAAGTTTCCAATCCCTGGTAGTCAATTTGGATGGATTGGATGGACCAATAAGACATATTAACTTGGACCAGTGCAGAGTATTTATTTATTGGATTGGACTGGATCTTATTCATCTGTAATGAATTTATATTGGATTGAGCCAATATCTGATCCATTGATAGAAGATAAGAATATAGGCCTCAATGGTGGGTCAGGTTTGAATTAAAACCAATTTAAATTAAAACAAGTTTGAACAGATTGGATGGTCCAAACATTGAATTAGACCGATTCAAAATGGTCCAAAATATTCATTGAATTGGATTGGACCTGATCCATTGGTAATGAACTCACATCCATTGGACTGGATCAGATTGAACCAAATTCAGTCCAATTGACACCTATGAGATCGGCTTTATCTTGGCATGAGCCATGAATCTTCAGATAAAAAATGCAGACCGATAAATATATTTAAGATGCTTTTCACAAGCCCAAACCCATCAGACCATTAACCCAACCCAACTATTAGTTGATGAAAGTAAAAAATTTGAACAAGGGAATTGGGCAAGGGCTGCACAAACGCGTACCCCAACTACCACAAATTATGACGTACACTCTCTCACTTTTGGGGGAGATATTAGGCAGACACCCTCCTATGTGCAATGTGCAATGGAAGTCACCAACCTAGGCCATGGGCCATCTTGATCACCAATTGATCCGTCCAAGTAAGTATTTTCCATCCTCCCTATTTCACTCTATTTATATTTCTCTATTTGCTCCTCAGCTCCTCTTCGTCTTATTTAGGTGATGTGGGATTGATTGATTCCGTAGCAACTCAGGATCTTTAGACTGTATATGGCAGCATGTAAAGCAGCAAGGCTATATATTGCAGCTTGCAGATGGTGAAGTTCTGTTAGAGGCTTAGAAGTTAGACCTTCTCAGCTGGTTATTTGATTCCTTCAGTCATTATCTTAGCTGATTTTTGTTTAGCATTTTTATTTTGGTAAAAGATGATGAAGAAACATTAATAGAGTTTCACAGGCAACATGTTGGCTTGAGGAATGGCATTTTCGTCATCTTGGCCTCATGCAGGATTAGCACCACCGTCCTTTCCCACTGTTATCATTGCCTTCATACGCTCAGCCGCGTGGATCACATTTTCATTAATTCCTGCAATTACGGCCCCGACATGTGGAGTCGCGCACACAGCACTGATTCCCTTTCCAATTATATAAAGGATTAGCGGGGACCCGTGCATCGTTCAAAGTTGTTAATATTTAAAATTTTAAAAATTGTTATTTTTATTTAATGTTGATTTATAAAAAATAATTATTGTTAATTTAATATGAATAAATTTAGTTTTATTAATAATTTGTAGTAATTTTAATAATTGTTATTACTTTTAAATGAATTTTTAATTAACTTTAAATAAAAATAATAATTATAAAAGCTAACATTTTTATTAATTTCACTAATAATTAACAATTATATAAGAATGACAACCGGATGGTTTCAGGGTGGGGCACCCCATCCTTGTTCCTACCACATAGTCAAGACACTTTACTCCATCCCAGCCCCGTCCCTGCTGTCAGGACTCAGGTGGGTTCAAAGTAAGGCAACCACTCCCTAATGTCAAGCGAGTTTAAGTTAAGTTATAAACGATTTGTTACTTTTTATTATTGATTATTAAAACCTTATAATTATTAAATTACTGTATTTATTAAAAATATAGTAAATTCTAAAAATTATCATATTTTCATAATATTGCTAATTTCTTGGCTAAAACTAATTAAAAATGATTTTTTGGTAATTAAAATTTATAGCTTAACTTATAATTACTGTTAATTACATTTTAAAAATCATTTAGTTACAGTTTAAAAATAATTAGTGTTAATTACTGTTATAAAAATATATTATTTTTTTTAAAAATAATGTATTTATTAATTACTTATAATTACCATTAAATGTAATTACTGTGAATTACAGTAATTATTAAAATACTAAATTATTATAATTTCATACTGCTTTTTAGTAAATACTGTAATTATTAAAATACTAAATTATTAACAATAATGTAATTATTAAATTACTGTATTTATTGAAAAAATATAATTACTGTCAATTATTACTGTATGATGCACTGTTAATTAAAAATTATAGTTACAGTTAATTCTGTAAATTAATACTATCTAAATTATAATTTCTGCTAATTACAATCTAAAAATAATTTAGTTACATTTTAAAAATAATTACTGTTAATTGCTGTTAATTAATACTACTTTTTTATAAATATTGTTAATAATTTAAAATGTCGTAATTAATAATACATTATTTTACATAAATACTGTTATTTAATTAAAATACTCTATTTATTGAGAATACTGTTAATTAATAAAAT